CTCTATATCCACTCTCCCCGGACCCCGCATTTACTATATCCGCTCTCCCCGGACTGTGCATTCACTATATCCGCTCTCCCCGGACCCTGCATTCACTATATCCGCTCTCCCCGGACCCGGCATTCACTATATCTGCTCTCCCCGGACCCCGCATTCACTATATCCGCTCTCCCCGGACCCCACATTCACTATATCCACTCTCCCCGGACCCGGCATTCACTATATCCATTCTCCCCGGACCCCGTATTCACTATATCCGCTCTCCCCGGACCCTTCATTCATTATATCCGCTCTCCCCGGACCCCGCATTAACTATATCCGGTCTACCCAGACCCTGCATTCACTATATCTGCTCTCCCTGGACCCTGCATTCACTATATCCGCTCTCCCGGGACCCTGCATTCACTATATCCGCTCCACCCAGACCCTGCATTCACTATATCTGGTCTCCCTAGACCCCGCATTCTCTATATCCGGTCTCCCCGGACCCTGCATTCACTATATCTGCTCTCCCACAATACACAGAACATGGAAATGCAATTATTTTCGTAAATATAAAACTGCTAAATACCTTTTCTCAACAGCAGTATATAGCAGTCTTGTGACTTCTATCAGTGTCTGACTGAGCACTGGTTAAAGCTTGTAGGAGTTTTCATTCTCCTCTCACTGCCCTATGAGATTACATAAATTGTTATTCAAAGTATGAGAGCGCTGAAAGCTGAAAATTGGCCTGGGCAGGTAGGGGGTAAAAGTGCCTGATAAGCAAGTGGTTAAACAGTGTAACAGAGGGGGAAAAAAAGCCTAAAAAAAAAGAAAACAAATGCAGCCACCGCATCAAATGACTGGTAAAGGCTGAAATAGATGACATTTTTGGTTTTGGATTTAATACTGCCTTAAATGATACATTTCTCTAGTATACACTGGTGACAATAGTTTATCTTTGTAATCTTTTTTTATTACTTGTTGGCATTGTGTCCATAAGTAATACGTTTCCCGAATAAAGCTTCACGTAAGAAAACGGTTGCCAAAACTTTATTTGGGAATTGGGGTCCACTCTAAAATATGAATGGACCAAACTGGAACCATAAACCGCTCACCATGCCTTTTGGCGTTAAAACCGATTCTGTTGCTGATTTCTAAACAACTTATCTGATCCAATCCCGGCTGGCAAGCCCCTTCTAATTAGGTTAACATATTTTGGATAATGGCATTTGCTTACACGTCGAATGCATAAAATATTGCTGGTTGAGCTCCAGTATAAGAGATGGATTTCGGCAATAACCGTAAAAAAAATGTATAGATTTTAGCGGCTGTTTAGCATTCGCCCCGTAATACATGGAAATGAATGCGCGGAACAGCATTAAACGTTGGATGAAGTGAAGCTGTTATAATTGGAAATGAAAATTATCTTGAAAGTTGCCATCATCAATGCATCCGAATCGGGAGAACGAGACGATTTTAATATTTTACACTCTGTCGGTGCCCAAAGACTGTTCTTTACATCTTTGCCTATTAAAAGGCCAAGACATTTTTACCAAGTAAACAATATAGAATGGTGCAACTACTGTATAGCTATAGCAACCTGAGGGCTTCAAGGGACCTCGAAGTTTCCATAAAGAGTACCTGGCACTTTCAAGCAAGAAAAAAGAAAGAACAATCAGCGCAAAAACTGCCACCATGCAATTTAGTTAAAGAATTATCCATAAAGTCCAGTAAATAGGGCTGCAAAAAGGTCCATGGGGCACTAGGGCAAGCTTCCTGTAGTAGTAGTAGCAGAACTCTGTATAAAAATGAAGAAGAAAAGAAAAGAAGCGCCTCTAAGGGCAGTATAAACAACTTTTAATAAGTATCAAATGTAGAAAAACTCACATTTATTATCCGCTTTCCCTAGACCCGCATTCACTATATCCAGTCTCCCCGGACCCTGTATTCACTATATCCGCTCTCCCCGGACCCCGCATTCACTATATCCAGTCTCCCCGGACCCTGTATTCAGTATATCTGGTCTCCCCGGACCCCGCATTCACTATATCCGCTCTCCCCGGACCCTGCATTCACTATATCCGCTCTCCCCGGACCCTGCATTCACTATATCCGCTCTCCCCGGACCCCGCATTCACTATATCCAGTCTCCCCGGACCCTGTATTCAGTATATCTGGTCTCCCCGGACCCTGCATTCACTATATCCGCTCTCCCGGACCCTGCATTCACTATATCTGCTCTCCCCGGTCCCCGCATTCACTATATCCGCTCTCCCGGACCCCGCATTCACTATAACCGCTCTCCCCGGACCCCGCATTCACTATATCCAGTCTCCCGGACCCTGTATTCAGTATATCTGGTCTCCCCCGATCTGAACCCTGCATTCACTATATCCGCTCTCCCCCGCACCCCGCATTCACTATATCCAGTCTCCCCGGACCCCGCATTCACTATATCCACTCTCCCCGGACCCCGCATTCACTATATCCGCTCTCCCCAGACCCCGCATTAACTATATCCGCTCTCCCCGGACCCCGCATTCACTATATCCGCTCTCCCGGACCCCGCATTCACTATATCCACTCTCCCCGGACCCCGCATTCACTATATCCGCTCTCCCCGGACCCCGCATTCACTATATCTGGTCTCCCCCGGACACTGCATTCACTATATCCGCTCTCCCCGGACCCCGCATTCACTATATCCACTCTCCCCGGACCCCGCATTCACTATATCCGCTCTCCCCGGACCCCGCATTCACTATATCTGCTCTCCTCGGACCCCGCATTCACTATATCCGCTCTCCCACAGTACACAGAACATGGAAATGCAAATATTTTAGTAAATATAAACTGCTAAATTCCTTCTCATCAGCAGTATATAGCAATATATATATATAGAATGTGAAAGTGTCCAGCACAGAACTGGTTAAAGCTTGTAGGAGTTTTCATTCTCCCCTGATTGTCCTGTGAGGCTGTAGGACCCCTGATCTTCTGTCTGGACAGCGCTGATTGGCCCTATGATGATCACATGCACCCTCTCAAAAAAACCAAAAGAAACCTCTCTAGCAATACACACCAAATTGAGCATATGCAGCTTGCCCCAAAGGCTCTTTTCTGTCAGCAGATTGATTGGGGACTGTGGAAAAAGAGGGGGCGCAGAGAAGACAGGATCAAACAGCCTTTTTACACAATGCGGAGGATTAACCCCTTAGGTTCCACAGTGAGTATAACAAGCATGCTTTACTGCATCTGATTGTACTGTTGTGGGTTTAGTAACACTGTAAAGACACTTGCTATTAGGTGGTAAAGGAAACTCAGCACTATTATTATTATACAGTATTTATAAAGCGCCAATAGTTCGCTCAGCGCTGTACATTACAAAGGGGGACAGAACATGCGACAGAATACCAATACCAATGCAATGCAAAACATGAGGGGATCGAGGGCCCTGCTCTTTGGAGCTTACAATCTAGGAGGGAGGGGATGGTGGCACAGGAGGAGATTGCTGTGGGGGATGGAGTGGTAGGAAGAGTGGAGGAGGTCGGCAAGTTAGCAGGGGGTGGGGTAGGCTTCCCTGAAGAGATGGGTTTTCAGGGTGCGCCTAAAGGAGAGGAGAGTAGGTGATAATCTGATGGGTTTGGGGCAGGGAGTTCCAGAGGATGGGTGACACCCTGGAGAAGTCCTGGAGGCGGGCATGGGAGGAGGAGACCAGGGAACTAGAGAGAAGGAGGTCTTGTGAGGAGCGGAGCGGAGTGTGCGTGTTGGGCGGTACTTGGATATTAGGTCAGTGATGTAGCACTATTTTGATGTTGTAGAAATTCATATTTAAAATGAATATTTTTTTTTTAAAGAAATACGTATGTACTGATTGTTACATTCTATTCATATTGAACATTTAAATTGAAAGGTTGCAGTATTTATTCTCTTTATGTTGTCGGGTGATATGTAATAGGTTGAAGGGACAGCTCACCATTGCATATATTTGGCTTTCAGATATTTGAGTGTGTGAGTGCACTTGATTTTGGTCGCAGCGCTCTCTCATAGTTATTGTTTATTACTGACTCACATTTTTTATATTTTTGGCACATGTTATAGCAGCGCACGAGTTCACCTAAAACTTTTTTTTTCTCCATGTGAATATTTATGAAGAGCGTGTCCCTTTGACTACAGAAAAGTGTTTGATTGTGTGGATTATGATATTTTATGGAGGCAAATGGGAATACCTAACCACATAACACAGTTAATAAAGAAGCTCCACAAAAATCACGAAGCTGCAGTGAGAACTGAATACGGCAACACGGAATGGTTTTCAATAAATCGTGGTGTCAGGCAGGGATGTATCTTGTCACATGTTCAACCTATACAGTTAGGCTATCTTCAGAAAAGTACATTTGGAAGAAGAGCCTGCTGGTATTAACCGCTTACTGCTACTGGGCGGCACCTGTGCGAAAAATCGAGTATATATACGTGATTTTGCATTTCCAGGTAGGAGGTGCGCACAAGCCGCGCCGCCATTCGTGGCCACGAATGTTAATCAACGGATGGGAGCCAGTAATTACCCGCCGGCGCCCGGGTGATGACCGAGCATCTCCGACGGGGGTGAAGATTGATTTGTTTACAAACAATCTTCCTCCCTGTCAGCTCGGGCACACTGCTCAGGATGGCTGTGCACATAAACATTATCCAACCACATTAGCTGCAACCTCAAAGCAGGCTTACAGAAGGAATATATATCATACACTTGGTGCGCGTTTCTTCAAACCAACTGTAAAATAATAATCATACAAACGACTTAAGTGTCTTATTGGTATTAACCACTTCAAGTCCGGAAACTTTGCCCCCCTTCCAGTCCGGACACTTTCACCCCCTTCCAGTCTGGACACTTTCACCCCCTTCCTGTCCGGACACTTTCCCCCCCTTCCAGTCTGGACACTTTCACCCCCTTCCAGTCCGGACACTTTCCCCCCCTTCCAGTCTGGACACTTTCACCCCCTTCCAGTCCGGACACTTTCCCCCCCTTCCAGTCCAGACACTATCACCCCCTTCCAGTCCAGACACTTTCACCCCCTTCCAGTCCGGACACTTTCACTCCCTTCCTGTACGGACACTTTCCCCCCCCTTCCAGTCCGGACACTTTCCCCCCCTTCCTGTCCGGACACTTTCACCCCCTTCCTGTCCAGACACTTTCACCCCCTTCCTGTCCAGACACTTTCACCCCCTTCCTGTCCGGACACTTTCCCCCCCTTCCAGTCTGGACACTTTCACCCCCTTCCAGTCCGGACACTTTCCCCCCCTTCCAGTCTGGACACTTTCCCCCCCTTCCAGTCCGGACACTTTCCCCCCCTTCCAGTCCAGACACTATCACCCCCTTCCAGTCCAGACACTTTCACCCCCTTCCAGTCCGGACACTTTCACTCCCTTCCTGTCCGGAAACGTTTCCCCCCTTCCTGTCCAGACACTTCCCCCCCCCCTTCCTGTCCGGACACTTTCACCCCCTTCCAGTCCGGACACTTTCACCCCCTTCATGTCCGGACACTTTCCCCCCCTTCCAGTCCGGACACTTTCACCCCCTTCCAGTCCAGACACTTTCACCCCCTTCCTGTACGGACACTTTCCCCCCCTTCCAGTCCGGACACTTTCCCCCCCTTCCTGTCCGGACACTTTCACCCCCTTCCTGTCCAGACACTTTCCCCCCTTCCAGTCCGGACACTTTCACCCCCTTCCAGTCCGGACAACTTTCACCCCCCTTCCAGTCCGGACACTTTCCCCCCCTTCCTGTCCGGACACTTTCACCCCCTTCCTGTCCAGACACTTTCCCCCCCCTTCCTGTCCGGACACTTTCCCCCCCTTCCTGTCCGGACACTTTCACCCCCTTCCAGTCTGGACACTTTCACCCCCTTCCTGTCCGGACACTTTCCCCCCTTCCATTCCGGGCACTTTCACCCCTTCCTGTCCGGACACTTCCCCCCCCCCTTCCTGTCTGGACACTTTCCCCCCCTTCCAGTTCGGTCAATTTCACCCCCTTCCTGTCTGGACACTTTCACCCCCTTCCTGTCCGGACACTTTCCCCCCCCTTCCAGTCCGGACACTTTCCCCCCCTTCCAGTTTGGTCAATTTCCCCCCCTTCCAGTCCGGACACTTTCACCCCCTTCCTGTCTGGACACTTTCACCCCCTTCCTGTCCAGGCCAATTTTCAGCTTTCAGCGCTTTCACACTTTGAATGACAATTGCGCGGTCATGCAACACTGCACCCATATGAATTTTTTAGTGTTTTTTTGAGACAGATAAAGCTTTATTTTGGTGGTATTTATTCACCACTGGGATTTTTTTTTTTTTTTTGCTATATAAATGAAAAAGGCCACAAATGTAGAAAAAAAGTGTTTTTCTTATAAAATTTTGCAAATAAATAATAATTTCATCATAAATCTTGGTCAAAATGTATTCAGTTTTCTTTTTATTAAAAAAATAAACCCAAATTAGTTTATAACCAAAAATTATAATTTTTTAATTAAAAATTTTACATTTTTATTTTCTTTTTTTTATATTATTATTTATGGGTTTTTTTTTTTCATACTGTCACCCTAGCAGTACCATGGTGACACTGTACTACTTGTGGGGGATAATGAAGATTTTTTTTTTTACACTGATTGCTTTTACACCCATAAAGGCTGTAAAAGCAATATTTTCTCCTTCTCTCTGGCTGCATTCTTGCAGCCATTGAGAACTACTGTGTGAGCTGTGATTGGTCACAGCTTGTCACATGGTACAAGGCTGTTGTGAATAGCCCTGTACCACGTGACCTCTGTGATCATTTACAGATTTCACACGTAGTGAGCAATGATGTCAAAAGTGACATCTTGCTTACTACTAATTATGTGATCACTGATTGGCCAATCAGTGATCACATGATCGGGGACCTCACACAGAGGTCCTGTATGACAATCGGTGTTCCACTGTGTCTGGAGGACACAGCGGGCACCGGATTACGGTGCTGCGCGCCCCCAGGGAGCGCGCACAGTCCAAAATGGTGGGCGCCGTTTATGAATGGCAACCCGCCTCTGGAGTGCCACCGTCCGGCCGTTTATTTACAGCAGCCGGATGGCGAGTGGTTAAACAGTCCAGAATTTTGCATTATCATTGAACTCCAAAGACATGCTGGTAGGTTAATTGGCTTCTGTATAAATTGGCCCTAGTACGTGTATGTATGAATGTGAGTTAGGGACCTTAGATTGTACACCCCTTGAGGGTTAGGGACCTTAGATTGTACGCCCCTTGAGGGTTAGGGACCTTAGATTGTACGGCCCATGAGGGTTAGGGACCTTAGATTGTACGCCCCTTGAGGGTTAGGGACCTTAGATTGTACGGCCCATGAGGGTTAGGGACCTTAGATTGTACACCCCTTGAGGGTTAGGGACCTTAGATTGTACACCCCTTGAGGGTTAGGGACCTTAGATTGTACGCCCTTGAGGGTTAGGGGCCTTAGATTGTACGCCCCTTGAGGGTTAGGGACCTTAGATTATACACCCCTTGAGGGTTAGGGGCTGATGTGAATGTACAATATGTATGTAAAGCACTGCGTAAATGGATGGCGCTATATAAGTACCTGAAATAAATAAATAGTGTGATCCAACTAGACATCAATGCTCAGTCCAACACAGATTCCAATGGTGAAAACAAATCTTGAAAGTGTGATTTCTCCTCCAAACAAATAATCAGTCCCTTATCAGAGGTATTGATCTTAGTATCCAGAGATCAATACACTCTTTTGTGCTCTCAATTGGCACTTATCCTATTGCCTCCTCTCTATACTATCACAAATTAAAGAGGGAATCCTTCCAATGGTACATATGTAAAAGTCCCTTCGAGGAGAAGATCAAAGGAACGGATGGTGTTATATCGTAAAAAGCTTTTTCTTTTTTTTTAAAAAGACATATACTCACAAAAACACAGCAGTTCAGAGCGCATAGCAATCAGATGCCGAAATCTCGAGTGTCGACGTCTGAGTGACATCACCGGCTAGGCCCCGCCCAACATATTTAGCCACCAATCAGCATCGTCAGGATTATGAAGCATTACTTACAGAAGGATTGCATAATCCAACTACTATAAAAAATGGAGGTGGAGATCCAAGGATGAGTGACACAACTCTTATGTGCAGTCTTTCACACCCTTCCTCTGACAGTCTCATGTTTCAGACACCATGCAAAAGTATGACTTTTGTGGTGTTTGGACAGTACAAAGATATCAGGCGAGAGTCAGGAGGTGGGTTTATGACAGAATATGAAAGAACGGCACATTTTAGAAATGGTGTCACGCTCTTTTAGATGGCCCTGAGAGCCAAAGATAAAACATAGATTCTGCAGGTAAGCAGTTCTCATTATAACTGCTTGAAATGTCTTTCTTTCTTCCTGACTGTAGATTGTCTTTCATTTATAGTGGTTCCATGCTGCTTTCCCCTGTAAGTATGTGATAACAGCTCAGCATGTTTTTAGTCTACCAACCATATTTCCATTCTTTTATATATTCCAGATGGAATTTCATACTGAGTTCCAGCTACACAAATGAAATCTGTAAAGGACAAAACTGTATAATTTGTTGTATTAGTTGTCCCCATTTCACATTTTGAAACAATAAAATCATTTAAGCCAGATTGCTTCTCTAAAAGGATTACACCCTCGAATTCAGTAACTGAATATGTCCAGACTGACCAACGCCTGATCCTTTAAACGATTAAGGAAGGATTTGGGTTTTCAAAACTGTGGTGCCCATATGGGAAAAAGACTTCTAGTGAGTTTCAATTGGGCGGAGGTGTTTTAGAAATGAAGCTTAGTTTAGTATGACAACGTGGATGATCATTTATTAAATTAGAATTTGATGAACTTTTAACCCAACAGCACACAGCCTCTGGAACCCCAAGTTGGATTCTCTTTATGCATTTAGATAATTTGGTAACTTCTCATCAGATTACTGAATTAAAAGGTTTCTCAGTTAAAACTTATTGCTCATCTATTCTAATGCCTATGCCAATGCTAACTGATGCACAAATCACAAACAACCCCACTTTCCTAGTGTTGTACCTTAAAAAGACCCACCCACCCCCGTCCCCACTTTATAAATATGCCATTAATCAATAGTGGAGAAATAAAAAAAAAACAGATTTACCTATATGTATATATGAAAGTGCAGCACTATAAACGCACAATCTTATTAATAAAGGTGAAATAATAAATACAGTATAAATATATAGGTCACCTTGAGTTTTCAAAGATATATACAGAAACGATACTGTAAGCTAAAGTGCCAATCAGTGCAAAAAGTGCAGTATAGTGAATCAAGTAATGTCCGTAATTCAATATAATATTAAATAACAACCAGCGAATATTAACTGACCAATGTCCTTAACCACTTCCAGTCCGGACACATTCCCCCCCCTTCCAGTCCAAACACTTTCCCCCCCTTCCAGTCCGGACACTTTCCCCCCCTTCCAGTCCGGACGCTTCCCCCCCTTCCAGTCCAGACACTTTCCCCCCCTTCCAGTCCGGACACTTTTTCACCCCCTTCCAGTCCGGACACTTTCCCCCCCTTCCAGTCCGGACACTTTCCCCCCCTTCCAGTCCGGACACTTTCCCCCCCTTCCAGTCCGGACACTTTCACCCCCCCCTTCCAGTCCGGACACTTTCACCCCCTTCCAGTCCGGACACTTTCACCCCCTTCCAGTCCGGACACTTTCACCCCTTTCCAGTCTGGACACTTTCACCTCCTTCCAGTCCGGACACTTTCCCCCCCCTTCCAGTCCGGACACTTTCCCTCCCTTCCAGTCCGGACACTTTCACCCCTTCCAGTCCGGACACTTTCCCCCCCCTTCCAGTCCGGACACTTTCCCCCCCCTTCCAGTCCGGACACTTTCCCCCCCCCTTCCAGTCTGAACACTTTCCCCCCCTTCCAGTCTGAACACTTTCCCTCCCTTCCAGTCCGGACACTTTCACCCCTTTCCAGTCTGGACACTTTCACCTCCTTCCAGTCCGGACACTTTCCCCCCCCTTCCAGTCCGGACACTTTCCCTCCCTTCCAGTCCGGACACTTTCACCCCTTCCAGTCCGGACACTTTCCCCCCCTTCCAGTCCGGACACTTTCCCCCCCCTTCCAGTCCGGACACTTTCCAGTCCCGGAACAACGTTATCCCCCCCCCCCCTTCCAGTCTGAACACTTTCCCCCCCCTTCCAGTCTGAACACTTTCCCCCCCTTCCAGTCTGAACACTTTCCCCCCCTTCCAGTCTGAACACTTTCCCCCCCTTCCAGTCCGAACACTTTCCCCCCCCCTTCCAGTCCGGACATTTTCCCTCCCTTCCAGTCCAGACACTTTCACCCCCCTTCCAGTCCAGGCCAATTTTCAGCTTTCAGCGCTATCACACTTTAAATGACAATTGCGCGGTCATGCAACACTGTACCCATATGAATTTTTTAGCATTTTTTTGAGACGGATAAAGATTTATTTTGGTGGTATTTATTCACCACTGGGATTTTTATTTTTTTTGCTATGTAAATTAAAATGTCCAAAAATTTAGAAAAAAAAGTTTTTCTTATAAAATTTTGCAAATAAATAGTATTTCATCATAAATCTTGGCCAAAATTTATTCCGTTATATTTTTAGTAAAAACAAATAACCCAAATTAGTTTATAACCAAAAATTATAATTTTTAACCTGTTTTTTT